ATGGTTAGAACTTTCTAACAATGTTGCTTGTAATTCTACTACTCAGGGTTTTTTCTCGGTAATTTTACCTCGCAGTGCTAATGGCAGCACGAGTTGATGTACCTGTGCGCGTGTTAACACGTATAACTGGCTGAAAAACAACTAATGTCAAGGAATCTACAATAAGTTACTAACATTATGCTCATCAGCGTGTGGTAATGAATCTCCTCAAAATAGTCACAGGCCCTAAGTGGAGGCGGTTTATTCATACAGGCTCATATACATTCATGCATTTCCATCCCTTAGAAAAGATGCTATTAAATTAGTAGATCATGTCATTCTTCGCGGTCGGTACTAAGTGGGCTCTGGGTTTTCTATTATGGTACGAATCATAGTGTTCTGTAAATCCTTCAGGCTCAAACAAACACGTAGGTAAACTGATTCATGTTTCTTTTAGGAAATTAGGCCATCATATTTACATTGGCTATCACACCACTAAATCCTCCAGATTCAGAAAGCCGTTTCGACACCTTACTTTTTCATTCATTAGTACGTCTAGATATATTACACCTAATAAAGTGCAGTATCATTCTTTACTTCTCAGCAGACCAATGGTAATTAGTATTCGATACGTCTGTCACAAGCTTGTGAAAGTCAGTCGATCTCTTTAAAATCGCTCCTCGTCATCTAATGGGTAGTGGTCTAGTCGCTCGACCGCACTAATTCTAGTCAGTCTGGTAGTTGTTCATATGTTTGCACATCTTAAAAGCTGGGTGTGTTGGTCTCAGGACAGTAAGGCTTCTGAATAGCGGTAGCTATCTCGTTACCAGACAGGGAGTTTATTGATTGCAGAAATAAATGAGTAAGTCGGCCAAATAATTAGTAATGCAGTGTTGGGGACGTTAGGTCCCCAGAGCTCACTTGGGAAAGGACCTAATTTTGTAAGTTTATTTAGAAAATTTGAATTTCTTTGTTTTCGCGCCAAAGGCGCTCTTGTCACCTTCATGTCGTATTTCCCACTGGGAAGTATCTTAACTGCTATTGGTCCGTTGCGTCTCTTAGTATGCTATTTGATAACTCTCCCCAAGGAGAGTTATTGTTGCTCGTTTCTGGCTGTTTGTAGAATATGATTCCCCATTCCAAGCATGAAATTCTCCCTCTAGTTAGCGGGGCTCGGACGCATCAATAGCTAGCTTACTGGTCTTTGGTCACCGAGTCTTGTTTCTCGTTCGCAGATTAAGTGAACGCTTATTAGCTTCAACCCTAGGTACACTCCTGTTCCGGGACTTTGTTCATTAACTTTTAGATAAACTGAAATCAGCGGCACTAATCTATGTAGGCACTGCAAAGGTCTGGAGGTCTATTAAAATTGAAAAGAATTCAAAAGTACTTCACAACATAAGGATCGATAGTAGACAACGTATTAAAACTTATTCAGTCAAAATGTCATGTCATGAACTTTCTGCCCTATTTGGCACAAAGCACTTAAACCTGTAGTGACTCACATTTATCACGAGAACACAGCTGCTTTAATGAAAACAATTATTATTATAACCAACTGTACCAGTGCTTGTTTTAATAGGCTTTTGTTTAACTGCGCTAATTACAGCCATTGTTGTGCTTCCATTATCTTCCATCATTGTTCCGCGGTTTTGGCTTTGTTCTCACGTACTCCGTCCTCCTGATTTCGCTTGCACCATTTCTTGGCACGATCGTGGTATTCGTTCAAAATCACGAGATTGCCAATTGTATAAACTTGATTCCAATCCACCTTCTGATTTATTTGGAGTGTTTCTTGGTAGCGGTATTCATAGTCAACTGGAACTCGACACCACGCTACAAACCCACCATAGAAATGCACCCCTGGTTGCTTCCTCAGAGTACGAACTCAGGCTACTAAATACAGGGAGACTATACACCATTTCAATTTACACAGTAGATATAGCTAAGGCAAACATAGCTCTCTGCATCATATTTAGAAAACCTGGCACATTCATCGGGGTTATCCTTAACGCTGTTCGGAGCATACGCATAGCAGCATCTTCGAGTCTACAATATCATTGCGTCCCCTCTTTTCTAAAGAGACACAAATCTCTTAGGCCAGGTAGAGAGACGGCCAATAAAGTGGGTGATAGTTGTAATATAAATCTTATGGGGACAGTTTACAACGCCATGGGAAAATAAGAGGTGGGTTGATAATAACACCTGGCATATTAAGTACTCCAAGCATCTTCAGTACTATCATATTATCGGAAAATCACCACAGCGCTGCTTGAGAGATTGCATATTAAAGAGCGGAAACTCAAGTACGCCCCCAATTTTTCTTGTTAAAAGTCTCACTCGGTCGGAATGCTCTCTTAACTGAAGTAAACACGGCCCCACTAGTGGATAACATTAAGAGGAGACCTAAAAACATGTACAGACACAGTGATTACCATCTCCACCTTGATACGACTGTGCCTGATGCATGTTACATAATTTGTCTACTTTTACGATGCATTATTGACACTTCGAAGGATGATATGTGCCGTCGATATTATAATGGTGTCCGATGTACATTTCATACTTTCTGATATACATTTCTAAGTACCAATCCTGATACCATTTAACCAGTTTGTGTATTTAAGCACGCAAATCAAGATGATCAGACTCTCCACATATCATTCTCCAGAATTTGATACCATCTGAAAATTGCAGTTTTGACAACTTAAGTAGTCAAATTCGTAGGGCTGAAAAATGGAGGTTATACTATGATGCGTTGGATTACATCTCTTTTAACCGGTTTTCATTCAGGTAATATCTAGTTTTCCTACACCCCCGGTTTTTAACATTTTACTCACTTTCGTATGGCACCGCTTATTTCAATGTGCGAGAGTTTCTGTATTCATGTTCGTGAGAAGTATTATCGAATGCTTTGCTAGAATCTGTGAATATCACAAAGACAGAAGGACCGTTAAATTAAGCTTAAAGATGCCCTCACTGCTTAGGGTCTAACAACATTTTTGCCCGTAACACGTTTATAACCGAAAGGTACTAATCCAGTCAGATCAGAAGTAATATCGAAGTATCTGTCACAGCTACAATGAATGGCACTAATTTGTCCACTCAAGCTTCTGGTTCATAGAATTTACTTCTTAGGCTGCGAGCATCGGTATATAAAACGCCGTGAAAGAATGGCCCATCTACACATGCATTGGTAGCATTCGCTTCCAAGACTCGACTATTCGAAGACCCACTAAACGGAGATTCTCCTCACCGTTTTGTTGATGGGTTTCTAGTTCAGTTATATATTCAAGAAACATATCAGGTCTTACTTGGGTGTTACTACGAGCGCTACTCAACAGAAGATCACTTTGCTTCTCCAACCCTAGGATTACCTTAACCCAAATTATCTTAAAAGTAACATGACAACCAACATCGAGATGTGACAGCTAAGAAATCAATTAGCTTATGTGTACCATTCAAACATTAAAGGATTTTTATGTGCCTCCAAGGTGTTTTGAGAACTGAAGGGTTGTGAGGAGCATTAAGTGAAGCTATCTGGAAGATAGAAGTGAGCTGACGACTCGAGAAGGACATAGAATGAACTTATACTTGATAATGAAAGGAATAGACAGCAGTTAAAATAACACAATAGCGAGATTAAGAAAATCTGGTTATCGAAGCTAGAAGTTGATAGCGTAAGGTTTCGAATCCGTTGCATATCCGACCTCGTCGTGAAAATATTATACATTGAAAGTCGTGTCCAAGGACAAGCGACTTTTCAAACGTGGGTTAAACTGTTTCGTGATCCACCTGTTTCTGCTTTACATATGAGTTAATTCTAGTATGTAACAATTATTCAAATGATGGCGATTCATCTACTACGCAATTTCATCATTTCATTTGCGTCCTTATGAAATTGGTTGATCACTGGGTTTAAGTGGCTTGACATTCTGAATCCTTTGTATGAGTCCAAAATTAGTTTTGTAGCTCACTACAAACATTTGGCCGCTTTTCCGCCTATCTAAATAATACAGCATGGTCAATTTGCGGCATATCTTTGAATTTGGTCTTCGTATCTAGCGTAAGTAGTCATTTTACCAACCACCAATACTCAACAAACTGGGAAGTCGTAGTTTCCTATGTCTGGTGTTAAGACGTTAATCGAGTACAAGTGTCGTTAACTTGATGTTTACAGTTCATCATTATGGCCAACTGACTGTTGGTATCAAATATAAATTATTCAGTGAGACTAATATATGGACGATCTTTAAGCTACCCTAAAGAGTCCTTGAGAATTCCCACCTGCATATTACGGCTAAATGAGGGTTATAAACCAGCGTGAGGAATTAGGATCGGTATTTACAGTTGATGACTAGGGTTAGGAATCAGATATGGAGTTTTCATCACGAAATGACAACATCTATAATGCCAAAACTCAAGACCTGTTGTCGTTAATCTGATTGGTCCACCCATAAGTTATAGTGCCGATGCTTGCGTGAAAACCACCATATTTAATGGTCTATAGTTGATACGTTTGTGCACTAATTTACTACTGTCTAACTCCAACGTCAACACGTTGAACCCAACTATTAATATATTCTTTCCTGTCCTTTTAACTAAAGTGAGTAGTTAAGATTCTGTATAGAAGCTTTCTTGATAGATACCCTGTGATAATCAAGTTTAAATTTAGGTTAGCTAGTTATCGATCATAACATTTATAACATACGGACTTGAAAATTTGCTCTAAGTACAAATCATAGTGAACAACTCACCGAAAGCCCTTTAATTAATATGGGGACGTTGGGATTCGACCTTACATTCATGTTGACTTGGTGTCGATCTTCTCTCCCATAAGTTATATTTGAGGATTTCACATCCCCAACAGAAGCACTGCCAAATTATGAGATGCAATTGCGTCTGGCAACTCCTTCAATTGCTGACTGTGAAATGTTAAATTATTGTATTGTTAAATTACTCTACAAATAAACTCTCCCTTGTCAATTTTCCTGAAGGACCATCGGGTGGCGAGTCTGATAGCATTTTTCGCGATAATATTGTATATAACATTTGAATGGTATTAATCTACCCCCCATAATCAGTGGTGTAAATAAGTTTCTCAATCTGGTTATCTTTCTTACCCCAAATACATGAGGTGTACGTAGCATCATTGGAATACAAAAATACCAACGACTTCGATGCGTGGTGGCTAAAGTATACTATCTGATCAAGTAGTGCTTCAACAAAGTCAGTTGTATCATTTCTTTTTATTTTATCATAAAATGTATGCAAGACTACTAGTTTCTGTAACTTTTATCCTTTTTTTCAAATACGTACTTACTTTGATCGATTGTACACCTGTTAACAATAATTTCTTCATTACATTAAATCTAACTCTAGTAGGGAATGGTGCTAATCGTGAATACTCCTACTATTTCACCAAAGACGTCCACTGTTCTATCAGTAAAAGATCCCATTTGTACTACTGGAGGATGTGTAGGTTCTTCTGAAGATAAGATTGCCATTCCAACAGCCGAGAAATTATATATTTTGGTAAGTTTTACCCAACTATATAGTTACTGACGTTTCCATAGCATGGTCATAAGAAACTAACTGTCAATTTGATAAGATGTCCGTCAATACTACATAAATGTGATAGCACCTGTTTCATCTACCACTCTTTAATGATATTTGCACTTCTAGGTTGGTATGTGATCGCCTAGTTAAAGTACCAATAAACTCCCTATCTTGTGTCCTATGTAGTATGAAATTCAAACCTCTTGCTTTAGTTACTGGATTTTGTAATGATTTATATATATATATATATATATATATATATATATATATATATATATAAAGTGATTTTTGTGCAAAGTTTGATTTACTTTTTAATATCGGAAACCGGTTAATCAACTCCTTGACTTACATTGCTTACTGCTGTACTCACTTCGAGAGTCCATCTAGTCAGTATTTTGGTGACTCGCCAGTAGTTTGTACGGGTTGCATTAAGTCACGATGGTATTCCAGAGGGTGTTTGTTAAATAATTCGATTAGTGCGTAGTCCTCGCGGGTAAACTAAAATCGGATTTCTAAAAACAGCTATTGTAAGACTCAACGACTGTTGAATTACTTAAGATTTTCAATGAGTTATCTCAGTCATCTACTGTTGATTCCCCATTATCAGCTTCAACGACAGTTCTTGTGAGCTCATATCTGTCTCCCAATAAATATGTTTATTTTTTCCCTCCTATTTAGAATTTTTCTCTTTCACTTCATGACGACCATTCTAAGAAGATAGCAATTGCTCAAGAAGTTGACTTTGTTGCCCGTGGTTCTTTAAGGATCGAACTTGATAATGATTGTGTGTTAAAAGGATCTGAAGTTGACCATGAAGTCAGTAAGCTCAATGATTTTGTCTCCTTATTGTTTTTTCAAACACAGAATCCTCACTCAAAGAAAACGTAAACAGATCTGTTCTCTTTCCTTATGAACAAATGAATCGAGACATCTTGAATCTCAAGAATGGAGCTCGGTTAGTTTCCTGGAGTCCAAGAGGAGTTGACAAATATGAAAGGTTGGTTTTCGCAAATTTGAAGTTCGTTATTTATTGTGCATGAAAGTTGCTATCCGTAATAGTCAGGATTTAGACTTTTCTCGTGTTGTCTGACTTCGTGTATGTGAGATATATGTTTTTTTCAAAATGGTGCTCTATTTTGGTTCAAGTGTTTTCATAATTGTCAATGGTTTCATGCACAGAACGTATAAGATTTATTAATTTGATATTTGCTAATCTACCAGTGAGTCACTATAGTTTACGATGTTCTCGATACGTCGTTAGTGTGTACTCTATGATTGATTAGCATCGAAAATATCTTTGTAATTAACACTAAGATCTTACATTTGGAAAACGCTTTAATATGAACCGTATCAATAAATGCAGATAAGTATTTGGAAAATTGGTGTAGGAGTAGAACGTATCTATAGGGTTACTTAAACGAGTCTGTAGTCAGTGAGCTGATTTGGGACTAATAACCAACCTCTCAACAAAATAGTCCATTCAGGTTCATACGTCATTCTTTGAACTATATCCTTTGTGTGGAGGTATTATGATATATTTTTCTGTCCATTCTGTAGTTTATAGAGTAGAACGTAAAATGATGAAATTACTAAAAGTTAAGTGTTCTGGTCACTGAGTTCTCCATATCATTAAAGCACGTAGAATGTATAAACCCTCTGAAACGTAAGTTTCATTGACTTTTACTCATGCGCTTTGTTAAATCTGCGCTGTGTTTTTCAGTCTACTTAAATTTTGTTGAGCTTGGCGGGTGGTTAGAGCACATAACAATGAAAGGAGCATTTATGAGACAGATCATATTATGGAGTTGATTTTCAATAATTTGTATACTTCATAGACAGCTTCTAAAGTCACCAATTTTCTTTCAATTCTATAGGTGTATAATGAGTTTAACAACAATGGAAAATCGGTCATTTTTGTGCACACTTAAAGGAACTGAATCTTGGGAAGAAGTAAGTTGTATTTCTAATCCATTTAAATATTTTTAGTTATTACCTCAATAAAGGAATTTCTTGTTTATAATAGTTTGGTTGATGAATACATTAACCGCTATTTGAACTGGCCTAAGGTGTTTAACATTAAGATATTACTTGTGTTTACTATAAAGTCAGTAGGTCTTATCTACTAGTCATCCTGATGGAAAAAATAGTGACCGGCTACCATGGTACCAGATATCCTAACGTTGCTCCATTGTCTCGTGGATTAGGGTTGTACGTCAAAGGTATAGGAAATGGCGCTCTAAGAAAACGACCTGTTTCTGTTCAGTGACCGAGACAATATCCCAGCCCACACACTAACTGAATGATTGGATATTATTTCAAATGTGAATTGAAGATTTACGGAGGTTAATTTCATCATGCTTTTAGTATGCCATAGCTGTGACATTTCTGAATCAAACTCACGCCTCCAATGATTATATCCAGATTAATCGTCAATTGGATTGACTCCCACTGATAGTGTGCCCAGAAACCCTTTCTTAAAGTTCAAATATATCATAATATGTTCCCAGAAAAACTGAGTTCTCTCCGATGTAAGTATCATAATGTGATCTCATTTACGAGTGCAAGCCATCAAGAATTAGTTAAATGCCACAAAAGTTAAACTTCATATCGTAATGTCTGAAAAGCATCGACACTGTTGTGAACGAAGTCATTTGAGTGTACTACTTTTTAGCTTTCAATCCGAACAATAAGACTTTCGCAGTATGTTTTTGTTCTCAATGATTATTCATTTGACATCAAGTAATTTCAAAGGTGATTATCCTATCCGTTCAGCATCTACTAACTGCAATTTTTTTCTTTTGTACATTACTCCTTTATTTATATCCTTTTGATTTTTTTATCAGTCAGTCGATCTATCGTTAATTTGGCAGCAATACTATGTTGAACATGGTAGGATCGCGCAAAGTCGAAAGGTGGTTGTTGATAGTCGACCACAGTTTATTTTCCAAGTTAGTGTTCTTATATTGATTATCCTAACTTATTATTCCTAAATATAAACCCCTTAAACTGGTGTTAGTACTCAGGGTATCAAAACTGCCTAGTTGTTCCTATAATCACTTGTCTTATTTAGTTCTGTCGTACATTTAGTAAAATATTGATGTGTCATATTATAATGAACAGTAATTAACCTCTGGATTGAATAGAGCTTCTCTATTTAGACCTTTTTTTAAATTTGTGTAGCTTACACTATTAATTACCTAGCTTTATTTAGTGGAAATTTACCAAAATGACTCTTCACTTTAAGAATTCCAACTAAAAGGCTCTTGAAAGTGTTATAGAATAAAACTTAGGTCTAATGGAGATGCTTTTGTATGAAAATGCACAAATGGTTTAGATTTAAAGTTACTGACCGTAAGCTCTTGGGTTCGGTTCCTAAGATGACAGGGGCATCCACTGTCCACACTTCAGTTGATAAGACGCGCTGTTATATCTGCTGTATGGTCAGCTGACTTGTGCTTGGCATGAAAACCCCAATCCGATGATGCATGGTAAGGATGTAAAACACGACAACGGTCGGAGAGGGATGTGTATTTTTTGTGAGAAATTACAAAGTATTTACATAATGCGTATACCTAGCCTTCAATCGTCCATTTTCATCTTTCGATGTGTTCTGTTATCTGAACTGACTTCTCATCTGGTCACCAATTGTTCTGCCAACGCCAACGTTTCGATGCACTGAAACTGTTCACTCCATCTGACGATTGTTGCAACTTCGACGTCATTTTCTGCCACACACTACTTACACACATTCTTGTGAGTAGTAGAGTCACTACGAAGGTATAAAGACTGGTGATATGGATTTATTTGACGATTAGTTAATAATTATCGGATATAGAAGGAATACACAGAATTAATACAAAATCTGAAGCTACGAGTATCACACTGAATTAATACAAAAAATATTGTCTTGAACAAATATCATGCTAAAATATTTCACTGGTATACTGGACAAAATATCACATTGCTGATAAAAGAAGTATTACACCTAATAAGCATCATGCCCAAATTAAACGAAAGTGGTGTTGAACGAAAATCACAATGAATTTAAAACGTAATTTTGCCTTTCTATTCTATTACATCACCTTCCTTTCCTAAAAATAGGTCTCAGATTCAACTAAAGGTGTTTGGATGGGCTCATATCATCTCATTTTCTTAATGAATGTGTAACCACTGAGGAGTGTGCTGATTCTGGCAACCGATATCCTCTTGTAACTATGCTTCTCTTCTGATTGACGTAATTGAATGTGAAGACTGTACGATTACAATTTATCATTATTCTGTAGGACACTTTTTTGCCAATATAACTATATGAATGAAAAGTAACACACCAATTAATGTTGATAATGTGATTATCAAATCGATAAATACCTTCGAATTAGTACACAGAAGTTACTTGTAACTCAATTGTAAATAAGATGAATACTTGCAACCTAATCATTAATAGAACGAATACTTTCCGCATAATCATTATTAGTAGTATGAGTACTGGTAACATCAGCAACTAATAGAATAAATCATTTGATCGGCAAAGCTCCGGACATAGTTTACATAAAATGAATGGGACATCTAAAGCATTTTTTAACTGCCAACTTTCAATCATTAACATTAAGAAGTATATAATTATGACATAACTTTTTGATATAAACAGTAAAGGGATTCCCAATTGACTGGTCACTACTCAGTGGTCAATCAATTATTAATACATCTCAGTTCTGCAGGAGGTCATTCATAAACCAAGCAGCACAGTGGTAGCATCTCTGATTAGGAAACTGAGTGACATAGGATCAAATCTATCAGACAGCATCAGCTCTCCCAAGATTACAGTTACTCTATGTTGACGAGTCGGCTATCTCCAACCCTCACCCTACAATAAAAAAATTTATTTATCTAATTACTCAAGCACCTTCCAATTTTGTTTATTATTAATAATTATCATTATCATTAACAGTAATATTCTTCGTTTTCTTCATCATTATCCGCATAGTTATCCCTCAGTAAACTCTCTTGTCTATTATATAGCCTACTGAATGTAGTAATATTCCACCATTAATATGTAAAAATATTATGGATTATTTCGATGCAATAGAAGATGTTATAGTTGTTTACACAAGTTGGTGTCAGATAATTCGACAACCTCAAATAAAATCCACTAATTCAATGAATTTGAAAACTGTACCTTGCTTAAATAATAACAGGTCCTATTTCGTGATACCAGTTGACACAACTCAACTTGTTACTGAATCATTTTCATTATGCCCAGTGACATTTTTGGCAGTCTTAATGAAATCTGGTGCATTCTCTATATGGATGGTTTCAGTACCATTTTCTGGAGTGTAAGTTACTTTATTTTTGTTCATTTATTGTATTCTCTTGACTTTCACAAATCTGAATTAAAGACACACTTGTATCTTAGCGGTCAACTACCTGCAATGTTGATTTCCCATCCAATAGGTACGATGCCCAAGAATTAGACCTATTTATCATATTTGAATTAATTGGGGAGTGACTGACCTGGATACTAAGTTCTTTCAATTCTCTATGACATTTTATCATGCCTGTTTCACATTGATACGTTGTATGGAAGCATGTCATTTCATTAAATGAAAACATATTCTTCTGGTTAGTGTTCTTGTATTTCATTTCAAATCGTTTGAAGGATTAAGTCAATAATTTTCCCTCTTCACCATCCATACTTAGTCATATCGTATCATTGTGCATCATCTATCGATAAGAATTTATTCGTAAAGATTTAATATTCTACTTACTGTAGAACATATATAGTGTTAAGCCAATATTTTGTGACCCCTCACATAAGAACTCGTTTGATTCTCGACCTGTTGTTTATATTCCTAACCTTATATTACACACCTCTGGAAAAGTAAAGTTTGCTGTTTATTAGATACTTATTTACGCCTGTTACCCCTCGTGGGAGCATAGGCCATCGATCAGGGTTCTCCAACATACTCTGTTCTGGGCTCTTCTTTTCCAACTGTCTTTTAGAGCTATCCTAGGGTTACTGTCGATCCCAAGCCCGGGTAAGAAAGAAGAGTTGGGCATTTGGTTACCTACTCAACTCCCATCAAAAAAGACCTTACTAAAAAATACGCTAACCAGAAAAAAAAACATTTAAACTATTTATTGCTAGATTGTCGCCAAAGTGGATCCTACCTTGTTCTTTTTGACCTCATTTTACTTTTCATGAAGATAAATAGTTGATATTCATTTGATTGCTTTATTTTCATCTGGAACGTGGAATAATAAATGACTCAGGTCATCAATATCATTGTTGTGGGTAGATTATACATACACTGTCGTGCGCAGCGATTCGATGGATAAACACCCAAACTATATCAAACTTTATGATCTGGATAGTCTCAATCGTAAGTTATCACTTTTCCCTCAATGTTTTTGCTGAATTAAATTTCTTGAAAAGAATTTCGCTGTATTATGTATAGTTTCAGCTCTCGATAGTTATTGTACTTACGAGCGTATAGAGAGTTCACACTTCCTCTCGAAATCCTCTCATACTCTTATGCATTTATAGTTTTTGACTGAAAAGTTCTACTGACTGAATCCAGAAGGCAAGGGTATTGTTTATAAAAATGAGATAAAAAAAGCGAACATTGGGCGCTTAAACCGGACCAGTGGGCCCACTTAGGGGTATTGAAAAACCCTCATTCCAAGCCAATCTTGTACATATGTTCCAGAACCTTGTGGAAACGAACTTACTTCGGTTGCCAACTAGCATGGGACGACATATCCTGATGGTTATACACTGCACTGTGGATTAGACCTTTACATCAAAAGCTGGGAAAGTGGGTCACCGAAGAAAACCACCTGTTTCATTTCGAGCGTTCGTTCAGTATCCTAAACCACATACAAATATTATTTGTATGGCTCATACTGTTTTTTGTCCCCGAATGTACCAGATTACATGTAGATTATATATATTATCGTATCAAGTGGAAAAGTAACTAAAAATCTCAAGTGATTATATCGGATGTAGTGTTAATAAAGTTGATTGATTAAAATTTATACTGGAATGTTTCTGTTTCTTTATTCACTTCATGGACTGTCTATATTTCGTTCGAAATTTAAATTGAAGCTGTAAAAAAATGAAGGTTTTAGTTGAAGTCTGAGCTTTATCTCTTACAGCGAGCATTACCTTAAGACTACTAAGTTTTATTGCCCTTAAGAAGACTTGAAATTCTGTTTCTAGTAAAGTCGTGAGTGAGCGATTCTGAAGTCCTAAACTGATTATTCAGCAAGTTCATCATTAATGCTAACTTCAAAGTAAACAATCTTCACTAATTCCCATCTTAATGATAAGAATTTATCTGTTTTTCGAAATTCAAAGCGTTCATGAGGTTGTGAATCTTCATCGAATGAGATGGTTGGGTCACGTGTTACGTATGCCTGAACACCGACTCCCATGACGCGCAATGCTAACTGGTTTTGGGGATGGTTGGAAGAAAGTTAGAGACGGCCAAACCAAAACGTAGCATCAGTACTTGAAGTCAATAACTTCTGATCTGAGCCATGTTGGTAGATACAGACTACTTGGTTGGGGTCCACGTGACCATCGTAACCAATGGTTAGAGACTCTTGGTGACATGGCTCAGAATCGATCACAATGGCGTCGGTGTACACACTCTCTGTCTTCCCTTAAACTAAGAGATTAAAATCGTTTCATATCTTTCTATGAACTAATTCTTTCTTCCTGTACTATATCCTTATATGCAATCTTTCTTTTATATATTAACACCTCTGAATTAACTACTTTTATGAATCCGGTGTCCATCTTGTTGTGTTAATGAGGTATGGCAACTTGGACTGATGCATATATGTGCCTGGTCCCACGTTGTAGCTGACTGGCTGACTGACAGTTAACGCTCTTCATCCCATTCATTTATTGTTCTAGATTTTTCTGAGTTTCAATGTTGATGAGAGTATAGTATAAGATTAACTTGAAACAACCGCTAATAATTTTCAGTCGTAAAATGAATGTAGTAGTAGCGATAGTACGTATATATTGTTATGCTCCTGATCAAAACTATTCTTATACACATGAACTTTGTTTTTCTCTTTCTTTTAGTCTTACTTGTTTTGGGTTTTACTGATGGTTCAGTGAAAGGTTTAGTGTTTCCTATTGAATATTCTCCAACTGGTATTCTGGTATTAACAGTAGTAAGCGAAACTAAACTTATTTTTAAATCTATGTTGCTTAGTACTCGTGTAAATTTCCGTTCTTCTGTCACTTTGATTGCTATGATTCTATTAATTGATCAACTAAATTAACCTAATTTATTAGGTACATCCAACTCGTAAGTCTCAAATGGGACGATACGCACATTCTTATCCAGTTTGTAACTTTACTAAAGAAAACCAATTGTTAGTTTAAAAACCTTAGTTTCAAATCCGTTATTGTTTCTTCTTTTTCTTTGTTTTCAACAAAGACTAGTCGTTTTACTTCTGTTAATTTACTGACTGTTTACGATCACCGCCGTATACTTTTGCTTCGTACCCATCCTTGATATAGATACTGTTAGATTCACGGAATAACGTACCGAGTATCGATTAAGCTCATGAACCTATTTGGGTTTCCGGGGTATTTACATATAAATATATAAAGTGGTTCTATTGTAAATAAGAATTAGCTTAGATTAAAAATCAAAAGTGCTAAGCTCAACAGTAACAACTATCAATACTCATCACAGAACGGTAAAAATATGCCAAGTTCAGTATGGCTAAACAGATTAAAGATCTATCAACACTACGTTGCTTGTGAAGATTATTAAATATTATAAGGCTGGTTTATGATGTGAAAAAAATCCATCAACCATTAAGGAGTTTGGGATTAACAACGGAAAAAATTATACGCTTAAAAACTAGTTACTCATAAGTAATACAACTATAGTACTCAAATCTCTCAGGTACTTCATATTATTCACCAAATGATCTCAATCTAATAATTGCTCCATTTTATAGATGCGTGGACTCATACGTGGACTTACTGGTCGAATCTTATCGTAATTGCTACGAGTCCTGGCTGTTTAGCATTTAGATCAATCTGATGTTGCGGTACCTTAAGCATGAAATTATCCACTAAAATGGATGGTGGTTTTTATTAACCAAAATATTTCAATCTGATGATTAACATATTGTTATAGACTCATAAAAAGGAACTTCTGCCTTTAATTGTTTTGAACCAGTTTTTTCTATTAGTCTCCACACTGTTATTGTTCACTGGCTTATCTGAATATCAAAGAAAAAAATTGGTCTGACCATAAGCTATGGATGACTTGTGATGACTCTGAAGTGACTTGGAGACAACTCACCTACTTACTAGTGTCAATAGAGAGTTAAAAATCAATAAAAGGAATTAGGATTAGGATTTACAGTTGAATCTAGGGTTAGGAATTAAAGCAATGGTCTTACCACGAACTGATGTAAGCTATAATGCCGAGATACTATTTATCAATGTGAAGGAATAAATTCCGCGCTAAACCCACGACTTACCTGTGACAAGACTACCAATCACAATATCGATTTTTATCACCTTGTTTCTGAGCTAACCAATAACACACCAACCAGCACTAGTAGCCTTAAGTCGATTTCGAATCCTTATTGGTTCTTGATAAAGTTGCTTCTCTCCTTGGCCAGTTCGTTGAATCCAGTACACGATAACCAGCCCCCACTATATTAGTGTTATCTTTCAAACATACGTGGTCGATACATAAACAGCTCAGACTGCATCACACCATAAAATGAAAAGTAACAACTGTGCACGATCACGCCAATAGGGGCTGTGAGTTTATTTATTTATTTATTTAAACACATAAACATTGGTACAAGGAGTCACCAAATACATATGCGCCACACAAATCTCATTCGATATGTGTGAGGGCTGTGATACTGCTCGGGTGCCCAAACCGAAGCTAGTGGTTTTCTTAGGGGGCCACGCCCTGAGCCTTCGACCTGAAGGTCTGATCCACAAGGCAGTGGAGCAACGTAAGGAGATGCAGTCCCATGGAAGCCGGTGACCAACGACTGGTTCATACGCCATTTGTTCCTTCAGGATACTGGAGCCCATGTGCACCATTAGTTTGGAATAAGGGTTTTCCAACTCCCCTAGGTGGAGTCTCCATGTCCACCAACCCGGTTAAAGCTCCGGACATTCGCTTTTCGTCCTCTCAATTTCGTAAACAACAGTAATGCCTCGAGAAGGCAGTGAATAAGACTTCCCTGGCAGAGGCTATATACGCGTGGCCATGTGAGAGCATTTCGAGAGGGAGAGCGGACTCTTCCCACTCTCGGCCGTATTAGGGCATTTGGGCAGAATGTAACTAATATTTTGGGAATGAATTAAGACTACTAACTTGTATTATAGTAGTTAATGTGCCAACCGAAAGCTTATGCTAATAGGAATATAAATGTAAATATTAATAGTTTATAAATAATTCCTTGAAGCTACCATTCGTTTGGTCTTCGTGTTATATAACAGCTTTGCTTCTTTTTTTCCTTTCTCAAACTTTATCATATAGCCTTATTTATTCAATCTATGGACAACTTCATTGTATCATGTAACCATTTTAGCATCAGCCTGGTCAATGTCTCGTCGTTTATTATGCATTGGCTATGGTCGTCATTTGTTATTATTTCATATAGCTAAGGAAGATTTAGAGATTTGTTTTCAACAACAGAACCAGCACCAAGAACAACCAAGTAACCAATCAACACCATGTCGTGGACGAGATCCATTGTATTTGGTTAGAAGCCAATTTGTTAGTCAACCAAGTCCTATTTTAGGCTATATTACTGGTATGTCAAGATTTTTAAAAAAAGTAAACTGAACTTTAAAAGTTTTTTTTCCGTTTCAGTAGTTTTTAAAATGTCCTCAGTTATATTGTTAATAAGGGTGTTTATTTGAAGTGTATGTTTCTAAAACAAACTGTAGATCAATTGTGTTGGCTATTTCATGAATGTTCAAATACCGACCATATGAATGGGTTATGGCTAAGAATTCTGTTGATAGTTCTTATAAAAGACCCGATTAATCAGTAAACTTCGAAAATTATATATTACTAACTCATATAATCTAAAACGTGTTATTATTTCACTTAGATGTACAGATTTTATGATTTTTAGAGTATTTATAGATCGTAGTTTTAGATGCTTCAGTGTTGAGTTCTCATTTACCGTCGGTATTGAGTAAGTCTTTCACTATCCATTAATGGTATGTTTTCTGAAATTCTGTTCATTTTTAGCTTCTTTCAGTAGTGACATATTTCAAAGCAAAATATTTACGAAACCTCGCCATTAATTAGTACACCTTATCATGTGTGGCGCATATATATTTGGCGCACTCTTGTACCAATATGTATGTGTTCAAATAATTAAATAAATAATAACACCTTACCATATGCGGCTTATTATTATTGCTATTATTGTTATTATCATTATCACTACTATTATCATCATTACTATCATTTCTATTGTCATTATTGTTACTATTATTACTATTATTATTACTAGATTGTCCGAATAATAGGAAGTGTGTCTGCTTTTATTCAATGCCGAATTTCTAAAAGTACTGGTCGAATTATATTGATGATTTTACAATTTGACTATCAGTCTGTGCAACTCTACCTCCCATGTACTATGTTAGATGTAGTTTCAAGGTAGTCGTTTCTCATAGTCTCCATTATTCACTGTTAAGGACATTTAACTCATTTTTCACTGCCATGTTTAGATTTTTTAAAAATATCCGTTTTATTTCTCAGTTTAAAAATTTGATACATTCCCGTTACGAACTTTTTCAAACATGTAACTCTACGATTTATTTCAGTGAAAAATCCAATTTTTTACACTACATATTCAACATAAACTTTTGTAAAATGTTTGTGTAATTATATCTCTGTTTAGGTATGCATTTGGACAATGAACAGTTATTACTGACTAGTGTGGATGGTTACGTAATGCGCACCAGTCTTGATGAAGTGTCTGAATGTAAGTATTTTTTGGTTTAAATTTTATTTTACATTATATATATGATATTAGTGTAGAACTTTCGCTCTCATAGAGAATCGTAGACTTAGTTTTTGCTAAATACTTTTTGGTGTTAGATCTTACTTTGTTGTATGAATACGCATGTGTTTACTGGCCTGATCAACATAGCTAATGAATTTAATTTATATGAAGGATGTATACACGATGGAAATTCTCAATATCTTTTGTGAAAGAAAATAATGAAGTTTGGTTTCATTTTTAATCGTTTTATTGTATTTTAAATATTGGATTTGACTGGATCAAAACGGAATAAATTAATGTCCAATATCAGGAATATGACAACATTGATGATTAAAATATTAATAGGATAGTGATGTAATTTTACTCATTTTATGAAATAAGATGTATAAATTTATCGTTGCCACTGTATAGTCTTTTAAAATTGCATCATTTAACTTTTCAGTGTACTTTATATCAAACGCTACACAGCTTAAATGCGGAAATTGTAGTCTTCATAGATTGATGTCATATCTCGGGGTTGTTAATTTGTGGGTTTATTTTCAATTGTATTGTATTCTATTTAGCATGCCGAATTAGGATTGGTCATGGTTATACGTGTATATCTTTCAGTTAACTTAATCAATAATGTTTCACATTTTCAACTGATTTACCTTATTCCCCTCTCCATCCTTTTCTTAATATTGTCTATCTGATAGTGTTAAGATACTTGTGATTTTGTGCCATTAATTTTGTACTCACTAATTTCAATAATTATCTTTATTTTATTTATTATGCTGCGTAGTGTACATATTTTTTGACATTCAGTTAATTTATCCCGCCAGTTGCATAACAAGTGATGTTTAGAGAGAAAATAATGTTAAGATTTGTTAGATCATCTACGTTTTAGGTGTGAACCAGTTTGTGAAATAAATAATTTGATCAATATATGTGAGAATGCCTTCGTGTTTCATTCTTAAACTGATCTCAGGAATAGATCTATTCTGCCGCACCATTTTGTATTGAAAAACTACAAAAAAATCCAGAATATTTCATCGTTTTTCGTCTTTTATTATGATAAGTTTCGAGATACTTTTCGTCTGGAAGCCATTAAAAACTAAGTTAGACTAGACAGATCATTTACTGTAGTTTGAAGTTCGTCAACGGTGTGGACCCACTAATTTAACAGGGGATGAATCTGAACCGTTTATGTCTCATGGCAAGCATGTTACTTTTAAAAAACACCGTTGGTTCATGTTTCCGGCGTCAGTTAATTTTGCGACATAGTATGGCCACCATCTTGACATCGATGGTGCCTACCGCGTTTCCACCAGTTATAAAATTGTTCTAAAACGTCCAGAATCTATTTTGACGTTAGTTGGCTGTCAATCACATGTTTATTGTTTGTTTGACTAGTTGAGCCAATCTTCACAACCTCCAAATCCTCTGTTACAGATGATATTGGGGAAAGTCGTCTCTCCCTCTCGAAATGCTCTCACATGGCCACGCGTATATAGTCTCTGCCAGGGAAGTCCTACTCACTTCTCGTGGCGGAGGTGTTGTTTACGAAAATGAGAGGACGAAAAGCGAATGTCCGGCGCTTTAACCGGATTCCAAACCAATGGTGCACATGGGCTCCAGTATCCTGCGGGAACAAATGGCGTATGAACCAGTCGTTGGTCACCGGCTTCCATGGGACTGCATCTCCTCACATACGATGCTCCACTGCCTTGTGGATCAGACCTTCAGGTTGGAGGCTCGGGGAGTGGCCCCCTAAGAAAACCACTTGTTTCGGTTTGGGCACCCGGACCGTATCACAACCCTCTCATATATCGAATGAGATTTGTGTGGCGCATATGTATTTGGTGCCTCCTTGTACCAATATCTATGTGTTAAAATATAATAATAATAATAATAGGGTTGTAATTGTTAAACTGAATAAATAGAATTCCGTTCAATAGATGATATACGGCCATGTAATGCCTGGTCACGAAATGGAATTATTATCATAAGCTTCCAACTGAACTGATATCAGAATATAAGAAACTGTACACGTGAATTGGCTATTTTATTTCTGAAATAACATGATTGTACTCAACATATTAACAGGAAAATAAGCAGAATAAAATCTTATATATTATTGAAGAAAATTAATTTTATAGGTCACTCACTCTGCAATAAATTAGGACCTTGCCCTTTATATCGATTCTTTGTAAAAGAAACCATCACTCCACCCCTTGTTTCTGGAAATGATGTATTTTTAAAAATCTCAGAATTATGTGATACATAACGACAACATATTCTCACAATGAAATTACCAGCAGAATTTATAGATTTATCCAGTTTAAACTGAAAATAGAATAGGCTCCAACTTTCATTTTCTGAAATCCTATCTCTTTTCCACTTCATTTTTTCTATTTTAGTGGAAAATAGTATTGTATCGTCATTTTTTTGTTTTCAAACAATAAAGGGCGTTCTTTAATTTAGGATAGGATGCGGGTGATTCATTTACAGGATTCTAAATATTAATAAAAGGTTTCAGTTCTCCTTACTTTTTTATCAAAAAGTTTTAAACCTATAAATTGTCCTGGTAAATTCATTGTATTGCAAATAACATGGAACGGTAGCTTGATAACTTTCAGTCACCAAATTCCAGATTTAAACATCGCTCCACCTACTTCAGTTTGTGGAAGCACTTAATGTCATTGGCTCTCACTTTCACTTAGTGTGGCTCATACCCCATGGACCCGGTGAATAAATTGACCTATTTATTATATGTATATCTTTAACCCATATGTGTTTTAAAAAAAACAAACAGTTGAAATTTCCCTTGATTCTTTTTTTATTTGATCGTAGACCTTCACATATGTATCCTTTGTCACTTGTCCATTTTCACTAATGTTATTATGAAATGTAAATGTCTAAAATCGTTTCAATTGCTCTTCAAAAGTCACTTTAATAGAACTTTAAGTTAATTTATAAGTCAAAGATAAGGCCTTCGTATTGTTATCAGTGTTTCTGGTTATTTGAACTAAATGACTTCGTCATTAATAATCCTTCAATGAATACAAGGAATATTGTTTTCAACGTGTTGACTATTCTGATTCTATTCATATCTATACATATAGGCTTTAATTAACACAAAAAAATTATTTCTCCTCACAATACACAATACAATATTCAGACTCAGTAGTGCAAGTGGCGTAATATTTGAAGCATTTAGCTTTCAACCACAGAATTCACGTTTTTGTATCCATCTCTGCCTCTTTCGGTTTAGATAGTCAGGTAATATCATACATAGACAGCTCTCACATAACTAAAAAAGGACGTATACGGTTCAAGATTAAATCATTTATCTGGTACATTTTATTTAAATTTCATTGATGTTTGTAAACATCTAAAATTATGCAACTTTGGTCTAAGTATAATGTTTTCGAAATTGACAATGAAACAATCAACTAGAAGTGAGCCGAGTGGTGACCGCATTGCTACGCTGTCAGTTTGTTTATACGACTTGTTTTTGAAAGATCAGACAATGACAACTGATATGAAAGTCTCCAAATGCCCTGGTACGGCCGAGAATGAGGAGAGTCCGCTCTCCCTCTCGAAATGCTCTCACATGGCCACGCGTATATAGTCTCTGCCAGGGAAGTCCTACTCACTTCTCGTGGCGGAGGTGTTGTTTACGAAAATGAGAGGACGAAAAGCGAATGTCCGGCGCTTTAACCGGATTCCAAACCAATGGTGCACATGGGCTCCAGTATCCTGCGGGAACAAATGGCGTATGAACCAGTCGTTGGTCACCGGCTTCCATGGGACTGCATCTCCTCACTACGATGCTCCACTGCCTTGTGAATCAGACCTTCAGGTTGGAGGCTCGGGGAGTGGCCCCCTAAGAAAACCACTTGCTTGGGTTTGGGCTCCTGGGCAGTATCACAACCCTCTCATATATCGAATGAGATTTGTGTGGCGCATATGTATTTGGTGCCTCCTTGTACCAATATCTGTGTTAAAATAAATAAATAATGATATGAAAGCATAATAAGCATAAGAAATAAATAATTAGAATTCATAACTTCATTTTAAATAAAAGTTCATTTATGAATGAGTTGTGTGTGTTTAATTTTGTTGATTACTTTCTGAATGAACAAACTATAAAAACCAGTTTCCCCCTCCGAAATATTTCGTTTGTATGTTCAAATCAAAAATAATCATTCTGGATTTGATATTCACTATTTTATAATCCTTTATAAGTTTTGTTTCTTTGTGCATCGTTGTACCTCTAGGATCGTTGCAAAACTGTAGTTGATTATCAGCCTCATTATCTTCGCTCTTCATTCATATTCCACTGAATTGACTAACAACACCGATCCAGGTAATTGGTCCGGACAATCAATAAATGTCGGACAGATTTTTAAAAAGAGATCAACTAATATTATTTATTATTTACACAACCGTTATCATTTGCTTTATAACAATGAGGCGATTTTCAAACTCATATATCAGCTACAGATTTGTGTGCTTGATTTTGTTTCATATTCTAATTGTGGGGGCAGTGATGCTATTCAGTTACCCAAATTGAATTAGGTGGAGTGGGGGTTCATACAGCCCTTGTAGTGTCTCTACGCCGAGCCTCTTAACCATTGAGTTTCCGTTCGACCAACTTATGGGGTATACTGTATATCGTATTCTTGTAGTTTTCATGTATATAACAATTTCCTTGTCTATATTATTATTATTGTAGGTAAGTTGAATTGGCAAGTTGTTTGGTGTAGTTCTAATTACGATAAATCTGATGTAATCCATTGGGAATTTCATGGATTATCAGTTTCAACGAATGGGGTTTATATATGTTTTCTTGAAAAGTATGTTGTATTTAATTATTTCACCATCTTTTTGTCATTTGATATTTGATAGTATTCTTTTGTTTCGTATTTAGTCATTACTAGTGTTTACAACACAGTAGTAACAAAATAAATTTTGTGTTATAGGTTACCAATTAGGCGTACATTGTATTGGTATTCATTATCACGAAAGGCGAGTAAAACAATTATCACTCTGATACTTGTAAACCTTATGAATTATTTCCATATGATGAAGATATATAATTAAAGGTCGGAGATGACATGGTGATTGATTTTATTGACAATGTTGTATACGCACTCACATATTAAAATAAAAGCTATTCAAACCACTTAACTCTGTGGACAGTGTAATTTAATGAGTTTAAATTATTTATATCTTATTTTTCTTTTTCTTTACAGACCATGCAATTATTTAGATAATAATCGTGCACGACGCAGTGCTCTACTTTCACCTAGAGTTAGTGATTCTTTATGAATGTGTACATATGTTTATGTTTTTATTGGATTTCAATATGTGTTTTATAAATTTCACCTTGAATAGATTGTAATTCTTATTACTGATGAGTAGTAGTGCTAATAAAGACTTGATTATGAACTATTGTGACTTTCCTTCTAATTACATTTATTTTTCTTTCTATTAGAAAAGTTGTGTAGGAAAGTAAACGTTTGTAAATATTAGTGTAATATTTTCATGTTGGATTACACTAGTCAATTAATATACTTTGTAGATCTAGTTTATCACTAGCTACATCATTCGTCATAATTTTTATCAATTATCAGCCTTAACTTATCTCTCATTCAATTTTAGGTCCATTTTTTATCGTTTTGGTCAAATGATAGTTTACAAGAAATTATATTTAACCCTGAATTACCTTTAAATCGCAAAGTTGATTGTTTACAAGAGTTATTACAAAGATGGCATTTATCAAACGACAAAGCTGATAATTTATCTAGCAATACAACAGATTTACGACAGATATGTTTGGAGAAAATTGATTTTCACCAGGCTTGTCTCACTGATTCTTCGTTTCCTCATAGTTGGTTGAATAAGCCACTTACAACGCTTCAAATTTACAGGTGTAGTTTTAATTGTTACCATGACCTTTAACGTAAAAAAACTGTTCTAATGAGTTTCCTCGTTATCATTACAACTGATTCTGAAAAATGTCCCCTTCAGTAGTTAGCCATAGGTGTTTATTATAGTATTCGACTTAATAATTGATTGATCTATTGTTTACAATAAGGTCTGTTGGTTGTTGGTTAGATTGACGAAGTCAGTTGGTTAGCTGATGGTGAACTTAAATCTAATTTAAACAAAGTAGCTACAGTGACGTGTAAAATTTCTTATCTTACACAAAATATGGCATTTTGTAACGGGAACAAATATACTAAAAAGGACGAAATAATTTTCGAGAGTAAAAGAAAACCATTGGAGATTAAAAAAACAGATCAAGTAGAATAATATATATTTATCAATGTTATTGGTTCTCTCTAACTACTTACATAACTAACAAGGTTTAATAGAAGAACTTATCGGTTCTTGGCTTGGTCACGATTGAGGACTTTGGATGCTAATTATTAAAGAAGTTCAATTTAATACATGTTACCAGTAACTGTCTATTACTCGATGGATTTAAACGACTTTGTAGCTAATATCGGTCTTTTATGAAAATCCTCTTGATATTAAGTTAGTCTCTACAATGTACTTAACTAAACTAAGTGTTTCTCTTATAACTAAAATGTAGAATTGCAATACTTATAATTGAAAGTAGGGGGATTGGCGGATGGTTTCGTTAATTATATACATTACTTTTGATACATTTGGGTACTCTGAAAATGTTGTACTACTCATAGGAAACTTTCTAAAAAAGAATTCAACACTTTTTTCCATCAGTTATTCAAAGAGTTCGCTTCATCTTTAGTTTCTGTCCGTTAAATTGTATTCTTATATTCCAATTAGCTATGATATTTCCAAGGATTTTGTAACATCATAATATTTAATATTGTTTTCAGGTTTATTCTGTGTATGCTCAACAAAGACACCGATGAATCTATCAAAGTGAGGAATTTATTTCGTTTTTTTTTCTAGAAGAATAGTTGTTATTCTGACATACTGTCCTGTTCTTAAATTTTATGAATGACATTATCGATTGTGTCTGACTGAGGCTTTTTCATTGTGTTTTTTCCCCAGTCCCGTGCACAACTTTGGCTGACTAATTTAGATAATTTTATCCAACAACGTCATTTGGAACGATGTTTTCGTTTATTTCTTAAATGTTCTATACAAAGGCAAGCACGTGGTATGTATTGTTTTCCATTTTACCTTGTTCGAGTGAATCTGTTGAACTGTTTATATTTAATGGTGTTGTTAGCATGAACTTCTATTCCAGGTAGTATCAGATCACTCAAGTTTACCAGTACACTTTACTGACAAGTGCTAAATAACACGAAGCATTACATAGTAAACTGTATATATTATTCACGAGTAATCATTTAGTTTATCAGTTATGGGGAATTGATGGTGGTTTTACATTTCCAATAATAAAATCACATTTTTCAAATGGTTACATAATTACTAGTCTTTTGGTAATTCACAGACAAATAAAACTTTCCAAGCAGTCATTTTTTCACTTGTTTTGAATATCTTTTGATATATTGTTTTTATCTCAAAATGTAGATATTAAGTGTGTGCTCTCTGAATTGTACTAGTTTAGTGTATACTAATAAGACGATATTTGAACTGATTTTAATCCATCTGCCTAATAAAAAGAAGGAAATCAGTCTTTTGTAGGACAATTTGTATTATTTCTACAAGAATATGGTCTGTTGGTAATCTCACATGACAAAACTTTCGCATATTATATAGTGATGCAAACAGTAATGGAAAAGCAAATATCTTTATGGTAACTATGGATTCTGAAAGTATGATGAATGTTTAAGGTTTAAAAGTGTGATTAATACTAGTTTCTTGTATATTAAAATATCTTTATTCCTGATGATTCTTTAAGTTTCTGCGAAATACATACCATCGGTGAATTTATTGCTTTCTTCCTATTAATATTCTATTATGTTAAGGTGTTTTCAACACGAGTTACTAATAGTAGACAAATGTTCATAGATTTACTTTCAAATCCATACTTTATATTCGACTGATTTAACCTTAAGATAAATGAATTAAGTCTCAAACAAACAATGTCACTTTCTTGTATCAATGGTTTTCATATTTATTATTATTTGATGATTAAATAATTTCATTTTTCAATATTGTTTTAATTTGTTTCTACTTATAACAGATTGTTTATTAGTTTCACAAATGGCCACAATAACTTTAAATATTTTCCGACCAACGTCACAAACATTGACTAATACACCTAGCACTACGACAACGACGACGACCACCACCACTACCTCTACCACCATTGATGCTGTATCTAGTTGTATATCTAATAAAAACGAAGATGATACAATGATTGTCAATGGAACTTCGAATAAATATATATGTTTTGTCAAAGATTTACCTCAATTAGCTAGAAATGTTCACCAATTAGCTATACAACTCTATGTGCATCGTTTTAAATTTCCATATGAAAATATCATCAATCAATTACAGAAATGTCCAATATGCTCAGAAAATATCCTTTTGTTTGTTTGTTCTTTATTATACTGAATATATTAAAATTTCTATGTATTTGTTAATTTAATTTCTTCCAATAATTCCCTAGAATAATAAATATAATGGAACAAAATAGGGTTTTCAATTTGATTTTCATCATCTACACTACTCTCTAATGCATAGTAAGAAATTTATATGCGTCTATATAAAAATATTGGACTGATGAAGTACAGTTTTTCTTTCTATATTCACATTCCTTGAGAATAAGAACTTGACGTTTTACTCATTAAAATTAGCCATTATACACTCAACAGTCAAAATGTCGATGCCATGGTGTTTGGAGTGAATGGTACCGAGCTTAAGTTACAGAGTGTACATCAACTCTGGGATGCAGGCTGATCGAGTTGATAAGCCCTGAATAAGACGAAACGGGTGTCCTGGGTTCCACTGCTAGTCGCCATCCATCTCTGCTTAAAAAAATACTCTTTATACTATTGATGTTGTTTAAGTGTATGTATGTATGTATATATGGCTGCCTCTAAATCAAGGTGAAAGCGTAAACCTGGATAATATCAAAGACGCTGAAGTAATACGTCTACCTCAATGCTCAGTAAATGAACATTTATTTGACACAATTTAGATTATTCTATTGTGTGAATGGAGTTTTATGATTGTAGAAACATATACTGCAAGTTGGTGAATGTTTCTTTTTTATGAATCAATTTCAGTGCTACATTCTATTTTTTATACCTATTTTAATTATAACTGTATACTACAACTATTTGCTAGTCAAGTATTTTCGTTTGAAGCCCAGTTTGTTTAAATTAATATACATACGTTGGATACTGACAGTTAAAAAAATGGCGTATATGAACTATCGGTTACTTTATTCTTCTATATTTTGATCTAGAAACGATAAATATAGTCGTACTTACAGTGTACAATCTATTTCCTTAAGTTGTATGGTGGATATATTTTTCTTTTCTGTTTAGTACATGTCATTCCGGACCTAATTTATTTGAATTGCTCTCAAAACCATCCATTTGGTGAGTTATTCATATATTGCACCTTTTCTTTAGGGGTTATGGTTGCTTAGCACTGAAGATTCCCACATTACAACGAAACAACTATTTAATACTCTCTTGTTTTTGGTGGTATCCCAACTAAAATCAATCTGTCTTAAACACAACATATATATATTCAGTTTATTGTTGATAAGCTAAGCACATGGTGATAAAGAAATCTGCTTAGTTTATTTTTCAAATAACAGTTTATTATAGCTTCATGTATTAGTCGAGGTACATAATGAATGAATTCATTTGTCAGTCTATTATGTTATGTCTAAGAAATATTGTGTCTATTTTATTAAATGACAAATATTCACGGATTTTCAATCACTAACGAAGTTTTTTTATATTATACGATAATACAAATTCAGTTTGGGCATACTATATGAACTAGCAATAATAACAATAAAATATAGGAAAGAAATTACTAGCAATTTAAGGCAATTCATATCTGTTCTGTAACATCCAAATCCATATCTATTCACTTTTTTGTATACCTTGTAGAAAGCATCTAAATTGATGAAACCCCCCAACCACATATTTTTCTCATTCAAATAAGCAAAAAAAAGATTGTAATAACCAAAATATTTGATCTCATAAAAAGAAAAAATAATCCAAATCACTATTCTTAAAGTACAATTCTTATATCATTAATTAGAGGGTAATTAAAAGAAAACAATATTATACTAATTATAATTACTACCCATTACATTCATCAGATAAATGTTAAGGGGTTACAAGTATTATACTAATGTACCCCACCATCTCAGTTCATACAATTGAAAGTGTAAATTTATTTTCTGTGGGATAAAGATATGTATTTATGAATAAGTTGTACATTTTTTCCTGATTCAGTTGGCTAATAAAAGCTTCCTACTCCTGGTTTTCTCACTTTACGTATCTGATTTAGGTACGCGTACAGAGAGCGTATATATCAGTAGCTGAATTGGATAATAGTATCACACAAAAAATACCTAAACTTTTTTGGTTTAATAGTCGTTTTCTCGTACATTTCTTTTTTCTTCAGAGCGTTGCATGCAATCTCTAGAACCTTGCATTGATCCTATGTTTCGTCATTGCATTCGGTGTAATCGTGTAGCTCTTAGCGTATCTCCTCAAGGTATGATGTAGAATTGTGTGATTTTTGAAGATTATTATCACTACTCTTCATGTTATTTCATAAGTCTCAATGTAGTTAAAATCTCTTTGAATAAATACTCATATCCTACTTTTTACATCACTACATAATTGATTGACATTGTGAATAGTAAACTGTTACGGCATGAAACCTAGTTTAAATACCAAATGATGTTTTGTTACATCAATGATGTTCACAAATAAAGTTATAATAAGCCTGTTTTTGTCATCTGCATTTCTGCATAAATGACATCTGTTTTTCCTCGATTATGTATGCATTTTTCAGTTTTATATCAGTGTAAGATTATTCATGTTAGTTATTAACAACTACTGAATAGATTTGCATTCATAATCGTTGTACCGTGAATGATCTTTATTTTACTGTTTGTATCCTCATAAAACGATTATATTAGTTTGATTTAAAATATCAGGCGATATATGAAATGAGATGGGCTTAGGGTACTACTCAATTACTGCATTTTAAAACACCGCATAGAATGAATATATCTGGATTATCATAATAAACTTTGAGCCGTCACTGTTTTCGTCTGACCATTGATTCTAACTACCTGATCGGAAATTCCAAGTAGATTACCAATTCACATACTATAATTCCTTTTCCGATCATCACATTTCGAGTAAACCCGTTTATTGACATCCTGCTCTATATTGATGGAAGATTTTGATTCAAATTTATCAGATTTGTATTTGACGAATGTTCATAATTTAAAAGGCATGGAGTTCTTTTTGTCTATAATATTCAAAGCGTTTGATTGAATTGGACTCACTATTATTTTATCTACCTGCATACAAATGGGAAACACACTCATAAATACTTGGTTCTCTGAAATATATCTCGAAACAAATCGGTATGAAGAAAGTAAATACAGTCTCCGTCTTATAGAATGACTAATACTGTACACATCTCTTCGATCTGTAATACTAAACTGATATTGAGTTTCACGGACATGTGTCGTTTGTTAGTGTTTGTTTATAAATATCTTTGATATTTTTCTCGTATATGCTGGAACCGTTAAGTGTATAACATTGAAAATAGATGTTGAATAATATAACAATCGTAAATTAATTAATCAGTCCTTCAACGTCCATCTTCTAATATCGTTTAGACAGTGTTACTGATGTTCAGCCATCATCTACTTCGAGTTGTAGCTGTGATTCCAGTAGATCGGGAAAATGCTATATGCAACCAAATCAAAACATACTATCAATCTGTGAATTATTTAAATATTCAACACAGGTGTTTCAGAAATTGTAGACAATGTGATTATTTCCCATGTAATAATCGTAATCCATTGTTAATTCTTTTGTTTGGCTTTCAGTACTGAATTTTCATCCGTCTTGGCATATGCACATCATCAGGGGATTGCCTCTATATAACAATTCGCTATAAGTTTTAGTACATTTGAATTTTGGCTAGAAGTGGCTAGCACTAATACAAGTAGACGTAATACGTGTTGATAAAGCGATTAGTTATCTGAACTAATTAGTATAACGGATAGGGTGTTTGCGTTTGCAGTGTTAGATTCTGTTTTTCGGTCATAGTGTGGATATTAATACTAGGATGGTGGTACATCCAGTTGACGACCTTAGAAATGGATGAAACGCGCCTTACTGATTCCACTGCTGGTCTGTAATCTAAATATAATTATCTATAGGTCGTATTGTTTCTATTTTACCGTTGAATCATCAGTTTAGCTATTGTTATTTTTATTCTCCAAACCATTTGTAATTAGATCGTTTATCCGCTTGGCGTTCAATGATACTTCATCCAATGTGTATATATTGTGATTTACCATTGACGTGGAAAGAATTCTAATGCTTATTTTATCATAATTTTTATTCCTTGAATATACCGACAAGATCCTTATGTTTTATTTCATTTATATATAAATGTCCATTTCAAATTCGATTTTTATTCTGTATTGTCGAATGTAAATTGTAATAATGATGTTAGTACTTAATTAATCTTTTCTAATATGAAGTTCTCAGTTTGTTGTCTGTGTATGTATGTTTGATGTGTGTGTGTGTAATTAGCATGTATGTTTACTCTTTGATTCGATAATGTACGGAAGATGTCCTTAGTTTAAAGATAATTTTCGAAGCACGCCAATAAACCGATCGACTTATTGTGACGTGCAATGTCCCAGAGTTGATAATGGTCTGCATGTGCCTAACTACCTGGTAGAAAAGGTGGATAAAGGATATTCCTTATATATATATATATATATATATATATCCCTTAAGAATTTAAGTCTACGAGTGGTTTAAATTTTATCCCTTGAAAATAAAAACTATATCTTGGCCCAAACACTTGCACTTATCATTTGGCTATTTCTGATTAGCCCTCCTGAAATATAGATCCGTTTTTCGGATTCAGCTGGACGACTTTTGAATGGATTTGCACGTCAGTTAGTAGTATTTTTGTTTCTGATTTTTCTCTCACAATAACAGTTCAACTATTCAGATGTGATATTTTTCATGTTATTTAATATATTAATAATTCTTATGTTCTACCGGGAGGTTCACTTGTTGACTTAGAATATGCTGATGACAGTTTTATTTGAAGACGCTGACAAAATGCAGAGTCTTCTGACCACTCTAAGCAACAATGCAAGCATGTTCGGGATGCGATTCTCCCCCTCGAAATGCAAAATGTTGCTTCAGAATTGGGTTGCATTGACACCCGAACTAATGATAGGGAGTGAAGTAATTGAGCGTGTCGATCGCTTCACTTATCTTGGAAGTCTCATCAGCCCTTGTGGTCTGGTGTGTGACGAAATCTCAGTACGGATACAGAAGGCTCGACTAGCTTTTACCAACTTGCATCATTTATGGCGTAGGCGAGATATCCGTCAATCAACCAAAGGACGGGTTTACTGCGCAGCAGTTCGTTCCGTCCTACTTTATGGCAGTGAAATATGGCCGGTAAGAGTAGAGGATATTCGTAGGTTACTAGTATTTGATCATAGGTGTCTTCGAAATATTGCTCGTATATCCTGGGACCATCGAGTAAGTAATGCAGCTGTTAGGAAACGGGTACTAGGTAAGGATGGCAAATCAATTGATGAAGTAGTGAAACTTCATCAGTTGAGATGATTGGGACACGTGTTACGTATGCCCAACGACCGACTGCCTCGACGTGCGATGTTCAGTGGTATAGGAGTAGGTTGGAAGAAAGCTAAGGGCGGCCAGACCAAAACATGGCACAAGTCCATGAAGTCACTGACAAGTGGTCTGAGCCATGTCGGTAGGTGTAGACTACGTGGTTGGGGACCGCGAGATGATAGCAACCGATGGTTAGAGACCCTGAATGACATGGCTCAAAATCGTTTGCAATGGCGCAGGTGCATCCACTCTCTGTGTTCTCCCAAAATTTGATCTCCTTATTCCTCCTTGTCTCTTATTTTCTTTCCAAATTTATTTCACTGTATTATACTTTTTAAGTAACATCTCCAAACACTAATCTTCTTGATTACTGCTTATACTTTTACCGCCTCTACCACTACGGGATTTGAATCGACCACTGCATCTCTATGCTAATGTGGTGTGGCAACTCGAACTGGTTTACGTACGTACGAAGTTCTACGTTGTTACTGACTGACTGAATTCTTATGTGATTGTCAGTAGATGGATGGTTTATTAACCTTTACAGTAATAAATTGATAATAGAATAAAACAGTTCATCATCATATCTGTGAAATCAGATTTTCTGTTGTTGTAAACAACCAGATTATAGACTTCACTGTTTATACTAAGGTGTATTTATTGACTTTTGTAATAAAATATTTTAGTGTAGAGTATGAGCAGTGATTACATAGAACAGAAGTTAGAAAATAATTGTTGGCTGATATGTCGGATTACTTATTTTATAGGGTCTTTTGAATTGATTCACTTCATTAGATCTGATTATATCAAACCATACTTCATCAACACCGAGGTCCATGGACCAATATAAGTACCTGCTGTATACCGAAATGTTACCAATTGTTCCATGATTCATATAAACTGATTACATAATGTTAGCTATTTTTTTCTTCTTCTTGTAATTCAACTTTAGCATGGATATATTTGTAGATGAAACTAGTAAAAATTCTCGTTATGAAAAAGTATGTTATCTTGGTGAAGGTCAATTCGCTAATGTATTCTTAGCTCAGGATAATAATAGAAATGGACAATTAGTAGCTATTAAAAAGGTAAATGTATTTCTCATTACTTATTTTAATAATAAAATGATATCTTGATTTTGTATCTTACCATTCAGTGTTTTAAGCTAAAATGCATTATTCAGTCAACAAAATAAAATATCTAACTATTTTGTATTGAAGATATATGGTATGATAAGAGTAAGAATTAAGCCTAATATTTGAGTATTAATTCTATTAGATAATGTATAACTTATAGTTGCGATTTCCCCCTAATCATCTACTTGTTAAATAACCTTAAGTTTTATTTATTCTTGTATTCAGTAGTCTGTATGTGAGCGTGTAGTTTAATTAGAAGAAAAGCTGTTCAACTGAACATTTTTCTTATCTTCTGATATCAATTCAGTTAAGGGCTTCTGTCAATCATTCAGCCTCATGAACAACCATCACTTCACGGCCACATTGAATTATTACATTTCCTTTGTTAATCGGCACTCTATTTAATCTATTGAAACTAGTAGTATGAGAGTAGAACTTGTGGGATTATCGTACGTATGATTATCATTTATATTTTTATCGTATAGTTAACAAACATTTAAACCATTGTGTTTTTATATTCTCTTCCTAAGCTTTCTTTTAATTCATGTACCGTTGTCATGCTTCTTATCATTCCAGAAATATTATTAAGTTATATACACATGATCAGACATTTCAAGTATACTATTGTTTGAGTTTCGAATTGTGATTGACTCTTTGTCTTCTGATTGACCACTGGGTTAGAAGTAGCCTCAGAAGAAATAAACATTAAGATGTTGGGTTTTGTTCATTGGGCGATGTGCGTCGATCGGTAACTAGAAGGTGACTGATCCTACTGACAATATAAGTAAACTAACTGAGGAAAAAAAGAGAAAGAGCTATTATACAACTGCATGTTTGTCACTAAGTCCCGACTACACACAATCCGATTAAGCAAATTTGTTTTCTTTTCCCAACATAACGTCATTTTAGCAATCGGAATTTCATTCCTTAAATTATAAAATCCTACCATACACAAAATAATGTCATGTTACGATAATAATTTCTATATTTCAGCTTCTACTAAGAATATTTCATATGAATATTTTCAGTTAAAAATCTCTAATGGAATTTCCTATTAACAATGTAAATATCTAAATTCAAATGTTAAGATACTTTAGTTACTCTTAGTCTGACTTCGAAATGACCGAGTTGTTAACGCAGACGAAATATAGATCCTACCTACATCATACTTGTTCTATCGGTAAATCACTTTAATTATAATGAAGATTTAAAAGTTGGATGTGAATGTTTCGGATATTTATATTTCATACATTCGTTTCGCTAGATAGACTAAGTAATAATAAACGAAGTCAGATATCATTAATCAATTTAACGAAAACGTGACTTAATATTTATAGGCATGAAGGAAACAAGCAAACATTTCGACACATTCTTTAATATACACATGCTCAAAGTCACATGTATAAACGACGAAATAAGTGAAAAGATCAGAATAATTCATCTGTTTAAAAGTTGAAACAAATTGTCTAGTTTTGTAATACAAAAGAATTCACTACAATACTGATATTAAAATTACTACCTTAATCCACAAAGTTGACACGTATATTTTTAAACAACTCCATTTTATCTATCCTGAAAATCTTGTACATTTAATTCCACCGCTTTACTACAATAGCATAAGTGTTTTCATTCTTTGTTTTCCACCAGTCTATATTTACTTTACGAATCGTATTTCCGATGCTTAATCTTTTCTACCGTCACGAATAGTGTTATTATTTGTACCACTCTCGGATTTGTTTAGGCGACTTCATCTCCTTTTGCCAATGGGGTGTGGAAACTTGAACCGATATACATATGTCCTAGGTTGTACTTCACGTATGACTGATTAACATTACTATGAGAAAATAGAGAACGAAATTCATTTTCATATATTGTATATTCCGCTTTATCATATCCCATTTAATTTAATTTTAAAATTTCTGTTGGTCACTGGAAATGGAAGCACATACAAAGTTTTAATCTACTATTCGTTCAGTACTTTCTAGCATAACTCACCGTTTCAAATCCCGGTCCAGTATGGTTTGAACAGATAGCTTCGTCAACTGTTATACATGAATAGTGTGACTTTAAGCTCAGTACAGAATGCATGCATTTAATTAATGAGTTGCATTAAGATGAGTTTCTTAGTGATGCGAAATTTCTTCAAATTGATGATTTAGTAATTTTGTTGTAGTCGTTCTAGTATTAATGTAGTAAACCAAGACTTGGTGAGGATAACCAATTTACCGCTAAATGCAAAATTGCAGTGTCTTCGTAAAATATGAAAACCATACATCCAATACTTCATCTGTACATCTTCCATCAATCGTCACTTACAAACTTTATCGTTCCTTCATTCCGGTCGATATTACAATTGGTCCTGTTGTCATATATTCCACTTCTGATTGCTGCTATTTACTACTTACGTCGACAGACACAAGTAGCATACACCACCGTGGTAGTAGTTCGTACAGACCGATTTGATTGGCAGTAATGTATATCTATGTTCCTCTTTTTTCCAAATTTTGTGTTTTGATGTTATTTCATTACACAATTTTAGTCGTTCATTTTGAATGTGACTCCATGTGTTCGTGTT